CATCCGGGTTTAATCACTTCTTTCGTTCGCTGCTGAACTTTGTCATAGGTTTGGTAGTCCTACACACATTCTGTCCAAATCTGCTCCCTATATAACCTTTTTTTAGTCTGGGAGTTTGGGCGTTTTGAAATGGGTCGAGGAGTCGGGTTAAGACGTATCTGGTTATGTTTTTGTCAATAATATGTTTTTTAAGTCTTACACCAAGATTGCTCAACACTACTATAACCTTCTGGAGAACGTGGTACAGGACAACATTGCCTTTGTATCAAACCTTCAGCCGGAGGTCTTCGCAGCCATTTTGAGATCCGTGCACACTGGAGTCACCTCTCTAGGTAAGAGTTTCCTTTTGTTTATGGAAAAATGATTGGAGAGGCCACAAAATGTCTTCGAAATTCACCTTTCTTTTGTCTCCGTCCTTGATTACTGTTTCTTATAGATGCCGTTGTCATAACTTCTGCATGTTCGGCGTTGGACACAATTTTAAATTACCTATACAAGAGGTTTACAAGATCACCACATCCAGTTGCCAAGGTGAGTAATGTTGAAATATTTTTAGTTGAGCCTCCGTTGTTTTTAGTGCTTTTGGTAGAGTTTTTAGTGCTTTTGGTAGAGTTTAANAAATCCAAAGATTCAATCCACGTCCAAACTTATGTAGCAGAGGTGGTCTTGCCCTCCATTTCACGATATAGTTCATGCTCCTAGGGGCAAAGGTCATCCGGATTTAATCACTTCTTTCGTTTGCTGCTGAACTTTGTCATAGTTTTGGTATTCTTACACACATTCTGTCCGAATCTGCTCCCTATATAACCTTTTTTTTAGTCTGGGAGTTTGGGCGTTTTGAAATGGGTCGAGGAGTCGGTTAAGACGTATCTGGTTATGTTTTTGTCAATAATATGTTTTTTAAGTCTTACACCAAGATTGCTCAACACTACTATAACCTTCTGGAGAATGTGGTACAGGACAACATTGCCTTTGTATCAAACCTTCAGCCAGAGGTCTTCGCAGCCATTTTGAGATCCGTGCACACTGGAGTCACCTCCCTAGGTAGGAGTTTCCTTTTGTTTATGGAAAAATGATTGG